GGTTAGAACTATGTGTTATCGGCGGTCGAGCTGAAGGCAATATAATCGAGAGTTTCTTTAACAAAATTGAGTCTTTCTTTCCAAATCGTGTATAACGAGGTTTGAAAGGTGAGTTTGATAATTAGGGACACATTCTTATCACGGCTGAGTTTTTTAATCTATTTCACTCCATCCTCGAACAATAAAGGATGAGAAACATGGGCCCTATGTACGTATTGGACAACTCTATTTTGTGTTTTTGGACAGTTATGTCATATTGCCCTCTAATCAAATTGGAGTGAATATATTTACTTAACATAATAAACTAACAAATACTAGTAGAGCTTTTTATTTAGGGATTTATTATTTGGGCGAGTGAGTGGTTCTGGTAGGCCTTGGAATATTTAAAAATTTCGTGGAGAAACGAACGATTGTCAACAAAATACAATTAGAAAAACACGTTACGTTACGTGTGCCAAATATTTTATTTATATCCGATAAACAGACAAAGCATATATATTGACTTGAATAAATCGAAATGTATAATTTATAGCTATAAGACGAGTTCTTTATGTTTCTTAATTCAATCTTTAAAAATAAAGATTATTCTTTAAATATAAGTATCTAAAAATTGATTTTTCGGAACATATTATGAGTCAAAAACCGAAATTTTACGGTAATTTTAAATAGAATTTTTAAAAAAATACAATATTTATTGAAATTTACAAAAATGATTTTGAAAGAGTGTTATGAAAATAGGCACATGTCAAACTTAATAATAGAATCTAAAAAAATACTTTATTATAGAAATATGGATTTTTCTCTATTTTTTTAAAGAACCTAAAACCCTAAACAGCCTTATAAGTAGTACCTCAAATTTCTAAGAAGTAATGTTTTAACAAAATCTTTCAAAATTCTTTGTCAAATTTTTAAGAAGTCATGTTATAACAATATCTTTCAAAAAGCGGTCTTTCTATACTATAGTGATATTTATTTTTGTGAACATGATTCTTTACATAAAATTTGTGGAAGTCAGTTTTGAAAGAAGGGAATTTGTGGTATGAAAATGGGTGCACCAACCTTTAAATTAAATTGTTGTTATTGTGTAGTTGATTGATGTAGACTAGTCGTGGCCTTGTTACTTGGAAAGGGAGAGCCAGAGAGACTACTCATGAGTCATGCCCATGTTTCTTGGTAAGACGCAACTCCTTTTGTTTTAAATTAGGAATCTCCAGTCGTCAAACAAGTTTTGTTTTTCTACTCCATGCAATATGCATTGTATCATGTATGATTGTTTCTATAATATTTCAAAACAAATTTACATAGAGAGCATTGCTTTAGTTTTTTACATAGAGAGCATTGCTTTAATTGATAATAAACAATTGACGTAATAGACGTGTGGTCACGTGACGTGAGTCGTGTGATGAGCGCAAAGGAGTAAGCATCAAATGGCTCAAATTTGCGCACCACTTAATTTGATTTGTTTGGTCGCTTACTAAATTATTAGAGTTTTAGAGGAAGACTTGAAACAAGGCAAAATAATTGGCTGTTTCTAATTTCTTATGCGTGTCACTAACTGCTCTCTAGCTAATTAGTTTACACATTTTTACATAATAAAAAATGTCATCAAAGCCACGTTTTTTGCAGGCCACCTATCTATCTACTCGTTCATATACCTATATTAAAATATTAATTGGAGTGTTATTGCATGTTGAAAAAATAGGTATGACTAAAAACGTTGAGAGGGGAGAAAAAAATGAAAAAAGGAAGCTCTATATATTATAGTTAAGCTACATGATAAGTAGAACTTCATATCTTGGTAAGCATTTAACTTTTCATTTTTATCCGATAGATCATTTGTATTAATGTTGTTGAATCATATCCTATTTCTATCATCATCCATATTTTAATTAAAAAAAAAATGTACATGTAACGCTAAAAATCCATGATTTTAGTTTTTGGTATGGAAGACATAAAATTCGCCTCGAACATATTAGTACTTTCTCCGTTCTAAAAAAATATTTTAGAATTCACACATATTAAAAATATATTTAGTAATCTACTATAAAATGTTTACAATTTTTAAATACAACCAATAATTTTAGCAAAATAAAATAAAATATAACCAATAGTATTTTAAATTTTTTTTTGAAATTTACAACATGCTACTATTAAATGATAAAATTGCATAAAAAACATAAAAATTACTTTTAGAGAATAAATTTTGTTTGTTATTTAAAATAAAAGATATGAAAAAAAGAAAAAAAAAAGAATTTAGCGAACAAAAAAAAAGCCGAGTGCACATATTGAAGTCAGTGTAAGTGGTTGACCATTTTAACC